GCCTTAGCCACTTGAGCCACAGGCACCGAGCCGACTCTGGCCTCAGCCTCCCAAGTAGCTGGGACTACAGGCGCCTGCCACAACACCTGGCTTTTTTTTTTTTTTTTTTTTTTGGGTTGTAGCCCTTACTGTTTGGCGGGCCCAGGCTGGATTTGAACCCACCAGCTCAAGTGTATGTGGCTGGCACCTTAGCCGCTTGAGCCACAGGCGCTGAGCCTGTACTTCCTATTTATTTTATGAAGTCAGAATAAGTTTAACACCAGAACCAAATAAAGATAGTTGGGGGAAAAAACTAGATGAGCCTTATTCATGAGTATAGGAAGAAAAATTATGATTAAGACAATAGCAAATAGGATTCAACAATATACCAGATTGACATACTATTATGACTAAGAGTTATTGCAGGAATGCAAAACCAGGTCAGCAATAGGAAATATACCAATAAAATCAATAGTTTAGGAATCATATGAATTATGAATAGATGCTGAAAAAGCATCTAATAGAATTTATAAGCATTTCTAATCCAATAAAATATAAATTAAACTGTATGAGTTTTGTATTTTACCAAAACCACATGGCATTTATTAAGTCAAAGCCATTTTTTTTCTAAAAGTCTAGAGTGCTGTAACATTACAGCTCACAGCAACCTCAAACTCCTGGGCTTAAGCGATTCTCTTACCTCAGCCTCCCCAGTAGCTAGGATTATAGGTGCCTGCCAAAAGGTCTGGCTATTTTTTTGTTGCAGTTGTTTAGCTGGCCCAAGCTGGGTTTGAACCCGCTACCCTTGGTGTATGTGGCTGGCACCGTAACCACTGTGCTACGGGCACTGAGCCCAAAGCCATTTTTTTATAAATCAGAAGTTTAACATTGTCTTGGAGATTTCAGTGAAGTCAGTAAAAAGAAAATAATTGGTATGAACAATGGAAGAGAAAAGCTAAAATGACTCCTTTTTTGCCGATACTATGGTTGCATACTAATAAATGATGAGACTTTGATAACTTTTTTTGAGTTTAGATACATTTTCTAAGAAGGCAGAGTACTAAGCCAAGAACTGTTCTCAGTACTGACAATAAATACCTAGTAATATATATGATTTTTAAAAATTACACTGGATCTTGATATTTTTCTATTTACATGAAACAATCTAAAATTTTATATGAAAAACTAATGCCTGAGAATCTAGACAAGGAAAGTATGAAAAGGAAAATATCATACTGGGTATCAAAAGATAACATGAAGCTATTCTGATGACATTAATATGGTATTGGTGGAAAACAGATATCAGCAGAACAGAATAGAACATTGAGAAATAGATCTTGGTATATATATGAGTTTTTTCATATATGGAAAAGGTGGAATCTCAAACCACAGGCAAAAAGAGTAGTTTACTTAAAAATGAATTCTGCACAGTTGACTTTTAATCTTGAAGACAGTAACAACACAAAGCATAATCAAAAAAATTCCAGAGGGCATGAAAGTTAAAATTTTAAAATATTGTAACAAAATTCTTCCAAAAAACAAAGGAAACTACATGTACAATCTAAGAGTTGGGAGAGATTAACTTTACCATCCTCCCACCTCAGCCTGTCAGAGTGCTAGGATTACAGGATGAGCCACCACGCCTGGCCAACATGGACATTATAAAATTGTTCCTAATGGGCTCGGCACCCATAGCCCAGTGGTTACAGTGCCAGCCACATACCCCGAGGCTGGCGGGTTTGAACCCGGCCAGGGACAGCTAAACAACAATGGTAACTGCAACAAAAAATAGCTGGGCATTGTGGCAGGCACCTTTAGTCCCAGCTACTTGGGAGGCTGAGGCAAGAGAATCGCTTAAGCCCAAGAGTTTGAGGTTGCTGTGAGATGTGACGCCATAGCACTCTACCCAGGGTGACATAGTGAGAATCTGTCACACACACAAATTGTTACTAATGGCAACAAACAAACAAAACAAAACAACCTCCAACAAGTAAGACAAAGTAAATACCATACACAACAGTAGGGAAATTGGGAGAAGGAAAGAACTACAGTATATCAATTCCATAGAATGTGTAGATAGCCATTAAAGTGGACAAATTAAAACTATGCTAGTGGGCTTGAAGGTAATTCTACAATATTTTCTGGAGTGAAAAAAGCAAGATAAATATTAAGTGTATAAGATAGGACCCCATTTTTGTAAATCATTAGCAAAATATGTATTTGAGTGATAAACATATATCCATGTATGTTCATGTATAATTTTATATGCATGGAGAAAAATATAGATGAATATGCACCAGGTTTGGGGGAGGTGGGTGATGCTGGTAGGTTATGGGGGAGTTAGGGAAAAGGAAAGCCAAAAAGAAAAATATATAAAAGATGTAATTTGGGCAGGGAGAGGGGAGCTGGAATTCTAATATGTGGGGGATGTTCATGGTATATATTAAATAAAAAAAGGGGAAATTGCATAATAATATATATGATTCTATTTTTAAAAAAATTAAAAGCCTGTGGCTCGGTGCCTATAGCTCAACCGGCTAAGGTGCCAGCCATGTACACCTAAGGTGGCGGGTTCGAATCCCCAGCCCGGACCGGCCAAACAACAATGACGGCTGCAACCAAAAAATAGCCGGGCGTTG